TGGAACGCGATGCTTGTGGGTTATAGTAAACATGGTTTGGGAAATGAAGTCCTTGAGCTCTTCAGATTGATGAGGGATGAGAAGAGAGTGAAGCCTGATTCAGTTACTCTTTTGGCTGTTTTGTCTGGTTGCAGCCATGGAAGAATGGAAGACACAGGGCTAAGTATATTTGATGGCATGATAGCGGGAGATTACGGGATTAAGCCTGACACTGAGCATTATGGTTGCATCGTTGATATGCTTGGCCGTGCTGGTAGGATTGAGGAGGCGTTTGAATTCATCAAAAGAATGCCATCTGAGGCAACTGCTGGTGTCTTGGGTTCTCTTTTAGGAGCTTGTAGGGTTCATTTATCTGTAGACATTGGAGAATCTGTAGGTCGTAGGCTCATTGAGATTGAGCCAGAGAATGCGGGTAACTACGTCATCCTCTCTAACTTGTATGCTTCTACAGGAAGATGGGAAGAAGTAAACAATTTAAGAGCTTTGATGATGCAGAAAGCTGTTACAAAGGAACCTGGAAGAAGCTGGATTCAACACGAGCAAACCTTGCATTACTTCCACGCGAATGATCGTACTCATCCAAGAAGGGAAGAGGTGTTAGATAAACTGAAAGAAATACTGATAAAGATGAAACAAGCTGGTTACGTTCCTGATCCTAGCTGTGTGTTATATGATGTGGATGAAGAGCAGAAGGAGAAGATGTTACTTGGCCACAGTGAGAAACTAGCCTTGACTTTTGGGTTGATTGCTACTGGTAAAGGGACTCCGATTCGAGTTTTTAAGAATCTACGTATATGCGTTGATTGTCATAACTTTGCCAAGATCTTCTCGAATGTTTTTGAAAGAGAAGTGTCCCTGAGAGATAAAAACCGGTTCCATCAAATTGTTGGAGGAAAATGTTCTTGTAGAGATTACTGGTGAACATCGCAAAAAGGCATGTAATATTAGATTCAGCCGACATCTGTAGAAATGTGCAGGTGTTGAAGGAAAAGGGTACAAATTAAAGTTGCTTTGATACCATTTTGTTACAGCTACAACACCCAAACATACAAACGCTCAAAGACTCAAAAGTTGGCATCTTGTATCAGCTGGTTTCTTCTGTCTTGGGTTCTAGTCAATCTTCACCGAAGAGTAGATCTTTCTTACAAACCAGAAGCAAGCATAGAAACCGATTGTGCCAGTTAGGACAAAGAACGCGTACGAGATGATGACCAGGATACCCAAGTAGAGCATTGCCGAGACTAGCTTTGTTATCTCCAGCTTCGTGAAGAAGTAGAAGATCGAGTAGAGGAAGCGGTTGAAGGCGAGATGAGCCTGCAGTTAAGTACGCTCTCCACCACCAGTTGTAGTCCTCACTACAAAGCTGGAAGTAGCACAGGACCACTGTGATCTCCGCACAGGTTACAATCAAGATCAAGAACACTATGAAGAGGAACCCGAAGATGTAGTAGAACTGGTTCAGCCATATCGATGTCAGGATGAAGAAGAGCTCGATGAAGACTGCTCCAAATGGGAGGATGCCTCCAATAAGTATGGAGAACACCGGTTTCATGTACCATGGCTGCTCTGGTACTTGCCTAGGGATCTTATTTGTTTTGACCGGGTCTTCGATTGCTGGCTTTTTGTAGCCCAGGTAGCTACCGACAAAGACTAGTGGGACTGAGATGCCAAACCAGAGGCAGAAGAGAGCAAACATTGTACCGAAAGGTATGGCTCCAGAAGACTGCTCTCCCCAGATGAGAGCATTCAGAACAAAGAAGATTGCAGAGAGGATACCGGGAAACATGAATGCAGTCTTCAATGTCATTCTCTTCCACTTATTTCCTTTGAACATTTTGTGAAGGCGAGATGATGAGTAACCAGCGAATATGCCCATGAAAACCCACAAGAGAACCATGGCAGTCATAAGGCCTCCTCTATTCGATGGGGATAAGAAACCCAGCAACGCAAACATCATTGTAACAAGTGACATTCCAAAGATCTGAACACCTGTGCCAACATAGACACACAATAATCCAGAGTTCACCGGTGGCCTGAAGACATCTCCATGTACAAGCT